CCGCAAGCTATCTTCAGGGACATGTATTACAAGTGAGGTGCGGGAAACATTTCGCGGGGCATTTCTCCTACAACATATAAATGGAATCTAGTTATGGTATATAGGAGACAATTTTAAAATACCTTTCTTTACTAAAAAATAATACATAGCTTAGTCGTAGATAAGATCATCAGTCTTCTACCACAGATAATAATAATTATATTCTCATTCTTAAGTTTGAACTCGCAATTGATCGGGAATCGTAGGGGTTTAAGTGTTGACCAAGAAAAACAAACTTCAGCCTGTTCTGGCAAAAACGACTGCGGATTACATTAGCATTATATATTTTGGTAATTGAAAACCTAAGCTTTAGGGTAAACATATATAACATCAAAATGCAGATCATAGAACCAGAAATGGATGATGTAAAAGAAACACCAAAAGTAGAACAGAAAAAGTCCCTTCTTATGGGCACGATGCAATGGATGGACTACTGGAGATATAGCCCAAGGAGGATAGGCGTCAGGCCCGCGGCCGGTTGTAAAACGCATGCCAAATCCCTAGGCAACATGATAAGAACTGCGTCGACCTCACATAATGTGAGATAAGAGAAAGAAGAAACAGACTATTATAGTGGGACTTAAATCCAGTAGTCAAGTACCATTTTGTAAGTAAATACTTCCTTAAAGCAATACGTGCTCGAACGACTTCCACCGTGAGGGAGTAAATGGTGAAATGAAATGAAATCGCAAATTTGTATATCGCAATTTCAAACTTTCTTGGAACTGTTCCCTGAGATCAAAGTAGTCGTATGATTGATACAAGAATTTTAATAATTGCGATGGGTAAATTTTGTATGCTTCAAATATTTGTGTTGCACGCAATGTTATATATTTATTTATACGTTTAAAAGTCGAAGAAGTGTATATGTTCCCTAGAGACCTCGACATTCCGGACCGATTTCGATGAAATTTTCATAAAATATTTATATTAACCTAGCGGGTAGTCGAATTAAGTGTGCTAGCTTCTTCTTTTCACTGTCTCCACCTTATCCCACTAGGCGTGGTCGGCACAGCGAATTTTTCTATTCCATTATATTTTGTCTGCGGTATTTTTCGCACAATTGGCGAAGGGAAAAAATGGCGTCCGTTATACTGCATCCCGTCATGGACCTGAACTGATTCTGTGATACCTCACTCTTCTTTCTCATTCTTCTCACTATCACTTTCTCTCAAGCTTTTATACTATGTGACATGAGCTTTATTCGTGTATAATTGTTGCTGAGGTGGTAGCGATCGGATTAAATTCAAATTAAAGATCAGGTAACAAAGTCGTCTGGGCTTGATTAGTATGAAAGAACTCGAAAGTAGTAGGACCGATTTGAAATTGATTTAGAAAATTAATGAAAAGTCCCAAGAGAAGAGACGTAACATCGATTCTTTTTATTGGAAATGTCACTTCATATTATTTACAATAGACGGCGAATTAAACTCACCTGGTCATCTGATATAACATAAAACAAATGAACCGTGAGATCGGCGGTCTGGTAAAACTGATACTACATTTTGCAAGTGAGTTTTGTTTTCCGTTTATATTAAACTACGTTATTCCCTATCCGGCTTCGCTAACAATCACACTGAATATGTATCAGATGAAACCCGATCAGACTATTGACAAAAAAGTACATGACTATGCTATACTTGAAACAAAGTACAGATGAATAATTGAATTTTTTTTATTTAATTTTAACCTTTTTAATGAAATGAAGCGGTTTTACTCTTATACTTAAAGTCTGTCGCATGTCTTATTCGCGGGAGATATAGGTAAGGTTAGCGATACCTATCCTTACGGACTTACTACATGCAAAACCATCAACAAATATTACTTTCTAATACATTACATCAAAGACTAAACGTTCTTAGGATCGTCAATCATTTTATATAAGAATATACCTGTATATTTGAACTTGGTCTTGGCACGAAGCCAAACGTGGATGATTTATAGATGTTCAAAGGCTTCGGAAAATAAAGTTTACCAACGGTCGTGTATATTTCTATGGCTTTGATTCGATTGAGTTCGTTCAGTAATTATTGTAGCTGTAGAAAGTTGGTTTATCCATCTGTATTTATTTTAATTAAGCAAAAGGAAAGTTCCGATTAATGTACAATAATAGAGGAAATTGACTACAATACGCTAAATGAGAAACTATAAAAAAAAATTGACAAAGCAATTGTTGTATACCGCAAATGTACAGAAAAGCCCTCTTTGAAATACTAGGAAAAATTGGAAGTGGTTCAATCGGATTAATTATTTGCGAACAGATTACGAGCGAACAAAAACACAGACATTAATTTTAAACATTTCGTATCTCCGCAATGCTGCAGTGCCGTAGGCGCCCCGACCGCGTATTTATGTGGCCATCGCTTATCACTGCCTTTGTAAGAACTGTAAGTGTACATAAAGTTGATGATAAAGTGTCATAAATCTTCCTTGATGCGTCAAAAACGTAATTGCAAAGTTTCAGCTCTCACATAGAACATGAACAATAACGAGTTAAAATTAGTATTTTTTGCCCTTAAGGCAACAACTACAACTGTTGACATATTAATCTGAACTAGAAGTCCCGTAGTAGTCGAAATTCGACTATAATTAATTGGAATTGTAAGTTTGTACACTATTATGATTGTATTTTATACTTCTATAATCACAAATTTCGCCAAGACTACACTATGAAAAATATTAACACAGACAAACAATATTTAATCTATTCTCAATTTGACAACAGACGTCGAGAATAAAAGTTTGACAATAAATAGTATGCATGTGTGTGTGCGTCAAATACATGGTATGTAGTGTGTGTAATGTTTTCTTTATTGATTTGATGTATCTTTTATGCATTATTTTTAAAAAATATTAGCATTGTGCACTTCTTCTCTATATTCTCTATAAGTGTGCAAAATTTCATACTCCTCCGTCCGCGCATTTTTCGTAAAAAGGGATACAAAGTTTTTGCTTAGTTCCAACGTGTCGTGACAACTGTTCTATCTGGAATGTTAAATGTTAAAAACAACTCAACTCTAGTTAACAGTTTTAATTAAACGTTAAATAAATATACATACTGATTAATTAATACCTTAGATGAATTATGTTAATTCAAAAACTACACACTGTAAGCTTGTTATTGTACTATCTAAATCTGAAAATCGAATATAATAATGAGTTTGTGGTAATACTAGAGCTCTAGTTAAATTGAAAATAATAGAAGATTTGTGTTAATTGACGTCTGGGAGGGTTAAAGTGAGTAATTACGGCCTAAGAATTTTCAAAATAATTCAAGTTCATTAATAAGCTTCTAGTAACTATTCTTCTCTTTTTTTGAGTCTTTTTTCACAGAGATACATTGGCTCAAGCTTGTCACGAATATTTCAATGTAAACTTCAGCATTACCAGATGCACCTTCGAGCCGAACCGTTCTTGTTACATAAGTTTATCACAAAGACATCACGATTGTTGTTGTGAAGGCTTGCAAATGTAGGTTAACTAAAGATTTTTGCAATCGACCTCTTCCTGGTTGTTCAAAACGGGTGCTTTCGATTACAGACGTATTCAAATTCTGATTTCTGAAGACTCCTATTACTATTATCTTTTATTATATCCTATTACTATATTATGTAGCATTCAACCAAACTGGTTGGATTATGAGAAAATTTTCCTATTTGTATTCTCAAATATACTTCTTTGTGTACTTCTTCTTTATATGTTCTCTTCTATATATTATGTTTTTAGACTTCTCAAAATAACAATTTTACAAGTTGATTACACAAATTTATATAAACGAGGAATTGAAGCGATAGCTTTAGGTCGATCTGACTCTGAACGTTGTATTACAAATCCAACACTTGACCGCTCGAAATACTGAGTTACTTTTAAAATTAAAAATTCTTGTTTCTCTCTCGCATGTGTGTATCCGATACCTTTAACGAGAAAACTCTCGCTTGAGGCCGATTTATTTTTAATCAAATTGAAAGTTCTCATCTGTCTTAAATAAATAAACGCTAGAGTGAAAATGATTTACGACGCAATGTTAAAGAACTAACTACTTATGATATTTTATTCGTACAATGTACTCGCGTTAGTAACTAATCGGTGGTCTACTATTCGAAGCTTTACTATTTAGCAAAAAACTTTATTGTTGCCTTCATTTGTAAAAACTACGGGAAATTTGAATTTTAATAAAAAAAAATAGCGTTTAAGCTAATAATTCTTTAAAAGTTTATATTTTATAGTTCTGGGATTGTATTCGAATAAATAGTAATTGAAATGAAAAAGATATGGAATGCTAAAAAAGTGTCTGTATTGAATTTAATTAAGATATAGTTAGTTGTTTCAACGTTTAAATTGTCTGTGGATATTTTTTTTTAATTGATTTGATTTTTCATAACTTGAGAAGGCAGCAATAAATTATTAGTTCTATTCTAGCGTATAAAGCGTGGCTTTTCTATGTTGATTGAATATTCGTGAATTTGAATTATTACAAAATATATAACCTAACCTAACCTAACCTGACAACATTTAACAAATAACTTAGCATTAAATATTTCCAATCCATAGTGGAGGTATTTTAAATCAAGAATTTTATTCGCTTAAAATCCAGCGCCATTGCTTTCTGTTATATAATACTTTTTGCAAAAAAAACGTACTTCGTAAAATGACTGATTTAATTTTTATGTATTCGTTGGATAAGTCGCATCATTTGTCTCTTTTATACATAACAATATCTAATGTGACTGAGATGTGTGCAGTATTCTCAATTTAAATAAATTAAAAAAAATACTAAAATACTCAGAACTGTCATTTTGAAGAATGCGATTTGAATTTTTTTAATTCTTTTATTAATGATTCTTATTGCATTCTCTCTTTCTCACTCTCTCATTATATATATTATTATACACGAATATTCAATGCATCGTAATAAGCCTCCAAAACCCTCTACACACACATTTTTCGCTCACAAAACTTACTCTCTGGCTTAAAGGTCACGCGGTCTGAAATAAAAATACTATATTAATATTCCTATCATTAAAATATGAAGATAATAATACAATTTTAGAAAAAGAAAAGTTATATATAATAATAGTTGGTTGTTTATAAGCTCAAACTAAAAACAAGGGAAACCCTTTTGGATGGAAGCGAAGTAAAGGTCCATCCGTACCTTTATAATAAGATAGACATGGACCATATTGTGGCTCTGAACAATGATAGTAATTTTTTTTGGAAAGTGGCCTAATTTATAGTTTAATTTTAATAGCATCCAAGATTATTTTCGATATTGTTGATATATTTTTATTGCTTAAATTGGAGGAGGAGCACTCGGTCCACAAGTGGTAAACAGAGCCCATACAACATCAACAACCTGATTGCCATCACCCATTTTGAGATAAAAAAAAATATTGCTTAGATAACCATCTAGAGACGAGCTCACAGCCCACCTAGTGTTAAGCGGTTGCTGGAGCCCATAGACATCTATGACGTAAATTCACCACCCACCTTGAGATATAAGTTCACTTGAGATATAAGATCTCAGTATAGTTACAACGGCTGCCCCACCCTTCAAACTGAAACGCATTACTGAAATGCTTCACGGCAGAAATAGGCAGGGTGGCGGTGCGATCTCAGAACACGCCCTACCTCCAGGCATTACGCAATTTATATTTTTTGCGAGTTTGATTTATATCCCACGATCTTAGTCCTTCGTTGCCGAAGGCATTCGTGAACATCTGGTAAGTACGTATTTGAATATAAACATTTGGTAAATGTCTGCGGAATTCGAACACCGGGTACATTCGCATCGCTTGATACAAATGCACCAGGCGTCTTGTCTTTAAGGCCACGGCGACTTGAAAACGATATTAACAAGGTCTTCTGAAACATAACACTGTGTTATAAAAAACGTAGGTTTTGGTACTCCAACTATCTACACAATCTATAGAATACATCTCTAAAACTTCTGGTTAAATAAATATGTATTTTTTAAGTTTACATCCTGAGTATATAATATAAGATTATAAAAACAATTGTCTGTTGAATGTGCAGGGAAATAATAAAAATGTTCTAAAAACTATAAAGGATTGATTCCTCAATATGCCGAGTCCTATCGAACTCACACAGATTAAAATACATTTTATTAACCGCTAAATATTAAATTCAAACAATCAATAAAATTCCGATTGCTTAGGAATTATTAGGCAGAATCCGATCGAAGAATTACTATTTATTTAACTTACCTGTATTATTGAAGAGACCCCACAAGTACATGAAACAAATGAGAAAAAAAAATAAGACAACATTTTAAAATATATACAGTGTGTTGTTTTGGACAACAAATTTAAAAAGTATTTTTTATTTCAAACTAGCTGACCCGGCAGACTTCGTAGTGCCTCAATCGATGAATAAAAGACCTAAGCTTTTGTACAAAATAAACTTAAAACAAACAAAAGGAATCCGTCCGACGGAGGACACATCAAAGGAAAAACAAAATTGTTATTTTTATTGAATTCCGATCATTTTCATATTTATCTACCTTTTAAACCTTCTCTGGACTTCCATAAATAATTCAAGACCAAAATTAGCCAAATCGGTCCAGCCGTTCTAGAGATTTAGTGAGACTAACGAACAGCAATTCTTTTTTATATATAACTAGCTGACCCGGCAGACTTCGTAGTGCCTCAATCGATGAATAAAAGACCTAAACTTTTGTATAAAATAAACTTGAAACAAACAAAAGAAATCCGTCCGACGGGGGACACATCAAAGGAAAAACAAAATTGTTATTTTTATTTAATTCCGATCATTTTCGTATTTATCTACATTTTAAACCTTCTCTGGACTTCCATAAATAATTCAAGACCGAAATTAGCCAAATCGGTCCAGCCGTTCTAGAGTTTTAGCGAGACTAACGAACAGCAATTCATTTTTATTAATATAAGAAGATATTGTTTTTATTTGAAACTCTAGTTTACGTTTGTATTTGAACTGCGTTTATCGCTCAACACCAGGAGGATAGTGAGCTCTTTTGAATTTTTCAAAAAAACAATCTTCTCGCGTACAACACAATATTACTATTTTCTCGCAGTCCGATTATGTTTCTAAGCCTATGAACTTGTGATAAAAAATGAGTGTCACTTGAAACTATCTTATTTATATTAAACTAGCGACCCGCTCTGGCTCCGCTCGGGTCTTTAACAAAAATTTCAACGACGTTGTTTTATTTTTTAAAATAAAAGAACACTCATCGCGGCATAATTATAATAGTTAGACATATGCTGTCCCAACACTTTTTGTAAATAATAATGTGTTCTACAAAGTCGTAGTACATTATTTTATTCTATCATCAATAGTTTTCGCAGGGCACGCGATGTAAAGAATATTTTAGGTATTTTTTTACACCTTGGGTTACATTATTGGAGTTTTAGTGAGGATCCCTAATTTTTTTCAAAACAGATTATAACCTATGTCGCTCGGGAATAGTGTAGCTTCCAAACAGTGAAATAATTTTTCAAATCGGTTCAGTACTTTCGGAGCCTATTCAATACAAACAAACAAACAAATCTTTCCTCTTTATAATATTATATAGTATAGATTATAATAATATAGCTCTCTAACTGTAGCGTCGACGGTCGTGTGTTCGATTCCCACACGGGGCAAACATAAAGTTGGCTTGCTCTTTTTCCGAGTGTTTATTATCTATATATGTATATATTTAAACGTATATAAGTACATATGTCAGTCTCTGGTACCCATAACACAGGGAACGCTAATTTGTTCCCAGTATTCTAATCTATTTAATCTATACATGTATTTATGTAATTATGTTAAGATCTCTATTCTAGCCATGAATAATAATTCATGCATCTCGTAGCACTGTTTATCGTAGCAGCAGTGTAGCAGGAGGCGCTACGACCGGCCTGCGCCCATTAGTCGGATTTGATTGCAGTGTCTCAGCTGTAAATTAATACCGGCTATTAGATTTAGCTGGAACTACTAACGATGAACACAGCTGTATAATGCTCAGATGTTTTTTTCTTTTCTACTTAGACGATCAGGATTCCGAGATTTTGAAAGCGTGTGTCTAGATTTTTGGCGAAAAATATATGTATTAAAAACACATTACTGGTGGTAGGACCACTTGTGAGTCCGCGCGGATAGGTACCACCGCCCTGCCTATTTCTGCCGTGAAGCAGTAATGCGTTTCGGTTTTGAAGGGTGCGGTAGCCGCTGTAACTATACTGAGACTTTAGAACTTGTATCTCAAGGTGGGTGGCGCATTTACGTTGTGGATGTCCATGGGCTCCAGTATCCACTTAACATCAGGTGGGCTGTGAGCTCGTCCACCAATCTAAGCAATAAAAAAAAAAACATATATTTTTCACACGATTCGCGTTCCATACTACATGTGTACGTACGTTCATACAAATAATATTTCGAAAAGTAACTTAAATATATGTAAAAAGCTTAAACTTAACAATAATTATATGTAAACACGAAAAAAAAATAACAATTTTTCATTTTTGCACAGCTCGCTACCCATTTTACGATACTCTTTGTAAGAATTCGTGAAGCACAAAAGGTTAAGAACAAAGAAAATAAAATAAGGAAAAAACCAGACCAATTAACTGAGTCGATTTTTTTTTAAATTTTTTTTTATTTTTTTTTATTGCTTAGATGTGTGGACGAGCTCACAGCCCACCTGGTGTTATGTGGTTACTGGAGCCCATAGACATCTACAACGTAAATGCGCCACACACTTTGAGATATAGTTCTAAGGTCTCAGTATAGTCACAACGGCTGCCCCACCCTTCAAACCGAAACGCATTACTGCTTCACGGCAGAAATAGGCGGGGCGGTGGTACCTACCCGTGCGGACTCACAAGAGGTCCTACCACCAGTAATTACGCAAATTATAATTTTGGGTAAATATCAACAAACATTCTAGTATTTCCTTACTTTAAAGTGACAAAATTACCAGAACGATTGAAAAATTCAGTGCTTTGTAAATGTTACCATGCCATCCTGTATCGGTTCGATTAACGATTATTTTTATTACGTTTCGGATCCTTGAAATTTGATATTGTGTTTTTTCCAGGGAATGGGCGCGCCGATGCGGCGCCTAGTTCAAACCCCTCTTTATTTGTGCCGTTTGTAGGTTTGGTACAATAAGTTAGATGATAGCGTTTTATGATGTTCAAAACATTAAATTAATAAGTTAGTCTAGTCAATGTAGTTTTTTTTTTATTGCCTTTGTAGGCAGACGATCATACGGCCCACCTGATGGTGAGTGGTTACCGTCGCCCATGGACTTCAGCAATGCCAGGGGCAGAGCCAAGCCGCTGCCTACCGTAGATAAATACATTGTAACATAATAAAAATATAGAACCGACCCGAAAAGTTTATTTGGACTATTCTAATGGCCGTAAATAACACTAAAAAATCAAAAGAAAACAATACACGTAATTCCCTTAACTTAGATAAAATATGTATGTAAAGTATATAGTCTAGTTATTTTGATTTAATAACGAAACTAAAAAATCGATTTTCATGAAATTTTCCTGAGACTAAACTGAAAGTTGACTTTTATTATAATTGTTTATTTGCCCTTGTAGGCAAACGAGAAAACGGCCCACCTAATGTTGAGTGGCTACCGTCGCTAATGGACCGTATATAAGCCGTGGTTTTATGCAGTAGCTAATTTAATAGGAAAAAAAAACCCATCAAATTAAGAATCTTCTTCTTTTTTTATGTGTTAAAAATGATATTTCAGTCACTCGAGATTGGGTCAGTAGCCATCCATCAGGACAAATAGATATCGGTGGTTAAAATCCGCATAGATGTGAATTGACAATGTGAACTCTGCTACCCACCTTGGGAGATAAAGTGGAATTCTTTTTTGTATTCTATGTCGGCTTACCCGGAGTTGATGACTATTTAACAGTAGTAATGCGTTTCGGCTTGAAGGGTGGGGCAGCCGTTGTAACTATACTTGAGACCT